TCCATATGACGGGTCTGATGACATTGTCATCGGCGATGGCACGGGTCTCCCTATCACCCATATCGGTTCCGCCTCTCTTCCTACATCCTCTCATACCTTCTCTTTACATAATGTCCTTTGTGTTCCTACCATGAAAAAGAATCTTATTTCTATCTCACAGTTCTGCAAAAATAATAATACGTCTATTGAATTCTTACCATGTTCTTTTCATGTGAACGATCTACGCACGGGGACAATCCTTTTGCAGGGTCAGACTAAGGATGGCGTATATGAATGCCGGTTTTCTCCACCAAACAATCTCTTCTAGTTGCTTTTTCGAGTGTCAAGACCACTTCGTCCGAGTGGCATCGTAGACTAGGACATCCGTCTTTTTCCATTCTTAGGCGCATTCTTTCTAATTTTGATTTAGGATTATCGAGTCCCTTGTCTCCATCATTCAATTGTAATCCCTGTCAATGCAATAAAAGTCATAAGTTACCATTTTCTATATCTTCTCTTCATTCTACTTCTCCACTTCAAATAATTTTCTCTGATGTGTGGACATCTCCTGTTACATCTATTGATGACTTTAAATATTATATGATTTTTGTGGACCATTTTACAAAATATATTTAGTTTTATCCTCTCAAATGCAAGTTCTATGTCTCTGCTGTATTTCTCCGATTTAAAGCTCTTATTGAAAACTTTTTTAATCGGAAAATCATTACACTCTATTCTGATAATGGCGGAGAATATCAAGGACTTTCATCCCTTTTGGCTACTCATGGCATATCACATCTCCTTCACACACACCAGAATATAATGGGTATTCTGAACGTCGTCATCGTCACATAGTTGAAACAGGTCTTTCCCTTCTCTAACATGCTTCTACGCCTCTCTCCTATTGGTCATATGCTTTTGCCACAGTCGTCTATCTCATTAATCGTATGCCCACTCCCACTCTTTCTCTAACCTCACCATATGCAAAATTGTTTCAGTCACCACCTAACTATTCTAAACTTAGAGTCTTCGGTTGTCTATGTTATCCGTAGCGTCGTCCTTACTCTTCCCATAAACTTGCACCACGGTCGTTACCTTGTGTTTTTCTTGGTTATTCTCTCACTCAAAGTGCTTATTTGTGTCTCAATCCCACCAACTCGAAAATATACGTCTAGCGTCATGTCAAATTCGTTGAGTCTGTCTTCCCTTTCTCATCTCTCCACTCACATCTAGAACGTCCTCAAGAGAGTACTTTTTCCCAGTGGCTACCATTTGTGTCATTTATGCCGGCCTCCGTCACGCCATCCTCACCTCCGGCTCCATCCTCGTGCGCGGATACCATGCCGTTCACCCCATCACACTCCTCCGTAGACTCACCAATGCCACATTCCCTACCGACCGCATCTCTTCCAGCTCCACCGAACCAAAACCCGGGCCTAACACCTCAATCCCACTCACCCATGTCTCTCTCAACCCTACCCGAACCCAGCAAACACTACTCCTTCTACTGACACTTCACCCAGCCAGCCTCGGCTCGACCTTACCTTTCCCGTTCCTCTCAACTCCGAACAACCACCACCACCCCCTCCCTCCTCAACCAACTCTTCTACCTCATCCAGAACCATTGTCACCCGTTCCAAAAACAATATCTCCAAGCCCATTCAGAAATTAAACCTTAATGCCCAACTTACTTCATCTACTACATGTGAACCCACCACTGTAACCCAAGCCATTAAAGACCCCAAGTGGCGTCATGCCATGTCAGAATAGTACGATGCTCTTATTTGGAACGGGACATAGGACTTAGTTCCCCATCATCCATCTCATAATCTGGTGGGTTGTAAATGGATCTTTCGAATTAAACGATTACCTGATGGTTCTGTTGACAGGTACAAAGCTCGTCTGGTTGTGAAGGGATTTCATCAGCACCCTGGAGTTGACTATCATGATACATTTAGTCCGGTTATCAAACCCACCACCATCCGTTTAGTTCTCAACCTTGCTATATGTCATGGGTGGTCACTTCGACAACTAGATGTTAATAATGCTTTTCTTCAGGGACACTTGTCAGAGGATGTTTTTATGGCACAACCTCAAGGATTCATCGATCGCGACCATCCTCATCATGTTTGCAAGCTGCACAAGGCAATTTATGGTCTCAAGCAAGCTCCCCGTGCTTGGTATCATGAACTGCGTCAATTTCTTGTCACCTCTGGCTTCACTAACTCTCATGCTGACAGTTCTCTTTTTGTCTTCAAGATAAATGGTGCTATGATATATATCTTCTGGTCTATGTTGATGACATTATTATATCACTGGGGACAATGATGGGGCGGTCCAAAAGTTCATTACTCTTCTCGCCATGCGGTTCTCTCTTAAGGATCTTGGACCCTTAACCTATTTTCTTGGTGTGGAAGTCATTCCCACCCAGCTGGCTTACTTTTGTCTCAACGCAAATATATTGTTGACATTCTCACATGCACTCGAATGTTAGATGCAAAATCAGTCACTACACCACTCGCAACTGCCTCGACTCTTGATCTACATTCCGGCACAGCACTTTCTAATCGTACTGAATATTGGACTATTGTTGGGAGTTTGCAGTACTTGTCGCTTACACGTCCCGATATCGCATGTGGCGTCACGCCATGTCAGAATAGTACGATGCTCTTGTTTGGAACGGGACATAGGACTTAGTTCCCCATCATCCATCTCATAATCTGGTGGGTTGTAAATGGATCTTTCGAATTAAACGATTACCTGATGGTTCTGTTGACAGGTACAAAGCTCGTCTGGTTGTGAAGGGATTTCATCAGCACCCTGGAGTTGACTATCATGATACATTTAGTCCGGTTATCAAACCCACCACCATCCGTTTAGTTCTCAACCTTGCTATATGTCATGGGTGGTCACTTCGACAACTAGATGTTAATAATGCTTTTCTTCAGGGACACTTGTCAGAGGATGTTTTTATGGCACAACCTCAAGGATTCATCGATCGCGACCATCCTAATCATGTTTGCAAGCTGCACAAGGCAATTTATGGTCTCAAGCAAGCTCCCCGTGCTTGGTATCATGAACTGCGTCAATTTCTTGTCACCTCTGGCTTCACTAACTCTCATGCTGACAGTTCTCTTTTTGTCTTCAAGATAAATGGTGCTATGATATATATCTTCTGGTCTATGTTGATGACATTATTATATCACTGGGGACAATGATGGGGCGGTCCAAAAGTTCATTACTCTTCTCGCCATGCGGTTCTCTCTTAAGGATCTTGGACCCTTAACCTATTTTCTTGGTGTGGAAGTCATTCCCCACCCAGCTGGCTTACTTTTGTCTCAGCGCAAATATATTGTTGACATTCTCACATGCACTCGAATGTTAGATGCAAAATCAGTCACTACACCACTCGCAACTGCCTCGACTCTTGATCTACATTCCGGCACAGCACTTTCTAATCGTACTGAATATTGGACTATTGTTGGGAGTTTGCAGTACTTGTCGCTTACACGTCCCGATATCGCATTTACGGTGAATAAATTATCTCAGTTTATGCACCGTCCTACCAGTGACCACTGGAATGCTGTCAAGCGCCTTTTGCGCTACTTGTGTGGTACACTTGATACAGGTGTTGTTCTTCATCGACGATCTTCTCTCTCTCTCTTCATGCCTTCTCTGATGCTGATTGGGCCGGCAATAAGGATGATTTCACCTCCACAAGTGCTTACATTGTGTATTTAGGGCGCAATCCCATTTCTTGGAGTTCGAAGAAACAACGCACGGTTGCTCGATCATCAACTGAGGCAGAGTATCGCTCTATTGCCACTACGGCTGCCGAGCTACGTTGGCTTGCTTCTCTTCTCACTGAATTTGGAGTAAAAATTTCTCAACAGCCTGTCATCTACTGTGAAAATATTGGTGCCACCAACTTGTGTGCTAATCCCGTTTTTCACTCACGCATGAAGCATGTCGCGTTAGACTATCACTTCATTCATGAGCAGGTTCAGAATGGTGACCTTAGAGTCACACATGTTTCTACGGAGGATCAATTGGCTGATGCACTTACCAAACCATTACTACGAGCGCGTTTTCTTAAGCTAACGACCAAGATTGGACTCTCCTCTCGGAGCTCCATCTTGCGGGGGCATGATAAAGATAATTAGTTTATTTATGTTTTTGAATTTTGAATTATTAAAATGCAGTTTGTTATCCAGTTGTTTTCATTTGTTATCTTAGGATATACTTAGTTTTAAGATTTGAATTAGTTCTTTTCAACTTTAGAGTACGTTGTATATACTATTTATACTAAGATTAATCAAAGGAATGGCTTTGCCATATTTTCCTCATCTTTATCTTTCTATAGGGTATAACTACAACTGTATATGTGTGTGTCAATATATATAGACACTTACACTACTACACACAAATACGTATGTACGTATGTATGTATGTAGGTATGCATGTATGTATAAGGCGTTTAATAAGCAGTGTTGAATGTGGGAAATTCTTGCGATTGAAATTGAAAGGTCACAAGTTTCTTATTCTTCTCAACCTCTTTTCGCAAAAAGTAACAGAACGCATATGATTCAAATGAAGTTAATTTCAAGGACTGTAAATGGTAGAAAAGAGCCATCAACTTGCACACACACACACACAAATATATATGTACATAAACGAAGGTTAAACCAACAAAAAATATTTCAGATTCCTCACCTATAATTTTCAGACAAAGAATATTCTAGATGTGTGTACATACGTATATATGTATGTACTTTATATGCCGTATATTATGCACGGTGAATATGATTCTCACTAATTATAATTACCCCAACTTAAGAGTAGTGTCCGAGCTATAATGGTCATGATGATTATTTGAACTGCAGATATTAGTAGACTCGACTGGGCGGACATGTTGAACTACATCTGTTTGCACTTCAAAGACATTCGTCATCTGCCATTAAAAACTAAGCTTAATTTATTAATGTCTAGTACAAGGGAAACCAAGAATTAAGTAAATCATTAATTGTTAATAACCCATATTATATATATTATCAAATTACCTGCTTCAATCGTCTGTTATCTTCTAGTAGCTGGACCCCCTGCAAGTAGATATAATAAGAAATCAGTCCAACTACGTGATCATATAATATTAAAGTGTGTATATATTTATGTGTGTGTATATATATCCGCAAACCGGGTACAATAGAGAGGATATCTGTAAATTCAAAAACAATCATCAAGGGGCTAAAGTGAAAAATACATATCGTAGCTCTATTTGTGTTTGCAAAAAACTAAGAATAATTAAGCTCAAATTAATCCTAAATAATCCTAATAGAACTCTAATAAAATCCTAGATAATAAGAATTGATAAACACAGTCACATATATATTAAATTCCTAATATCGAGATCTTTGTTCCTCATCATTTTCCTCAGCTTGGAGAACTCGACTATGACGCGTTAAAATTAAGAAGAGTCGTGAAGCAAACAATCCGAAACCAAAGAACATCTCCAAACCTCAACTCTTGATTTTGGATGAAGCTATCTATAGGTGCTTGTTTCTATAAAAGACTCAATGAAGAGAGGCTTAGCAGATTCACAAGAACCAAGTTCAACCATGTGTGGGTTTGGAGATTGGCCTATTGATGAGCTAGATTTCAGTTTTCTTTTGTTTTTTTTTTAAATATCCTTTTTGGAGGACATCGGCAGTTCTTTACTAGGAATAGATTCATTCTCCCCTCCATCGCACCTATTATAACACTAGAATTAACCCAAGGACAAAAAAAAAAAAAAAAGAAAAGAAAAGAGTTGGCCTGCTTCTAATCCAATTTCCATGAATGGTGAGAGCACTAAGGCATGGTTTTGATTCAAATGAGCATCTACAAACAAAAGCCAGGGAAAAAAAATGTATTCTCAACAAGAATCATAGCATTCGCGCTGAATATGACCTAGCGAGAACAGACCTTAGGGCAAACCAGAAGGAAACACAAACCCTAGGAGCAAGCCAACAAATCTGAGTGAACCTAGCTAACAGCAACGACATAGAAAAATTGGCGTAGACATGAGTAGCAACGTGTGCAAATCTCTAGAATGGGTGACGGCTCAAGAACAACGACGGTGTAAGGGCATGAGAAAATTACACTCCAGCACAACAGCTAGCACCAGCAAAACTTGGCTAGAGCGAGCAAGGGTGCAACGATGTTAGCCAAACTGTGGGCAAGACGAGCAAGCAATGGGGTAAATCCAAGGTACGCCAGCAACAACAGTGGTGGCTGCCCGAGCTTCTTGAAAGTTGTGAAAAATAAACAAATTGCAACAACTAAGGTTATTGTGAAGGACAACATGAGGTGACGATGAAGGTTACCGGAGATAGTTCGTTGGTGACAAGAAGCTCACCGGAAAAAAGAGAAAGTGAAGAATCCTAACTATTAAATCTCTCACACCATGTAGATATTAAAACTCCTCTATCATTATCAGAGAATGTACAAGATTGAGGAAACTATGACTAATTATACTGCTAACACTCTTAACTACAACCAAACAACCTTTTTTTAATGAATAGAACGGCAACTGGTGTTTGAGCATCCCAACTAAGTTGGCACCCAAAAAACAAACTCATCCCACATGAAACCAACGAGGCTCCACCCTACACAGAAGCTCCACACTACTAGAAATTGACTGCAGAAGATAAAGCTACACATTTGAAAATCAGTTTCTGAAATAGGCCTCATCAAAAACTTGCCAATAAAACCAAAGAGAAAAACCTAGGGAGGGGAAAAAAATGTGTTTATGCTAACTACATTTCCCCAACAGGCCAAGAAGAGGGCTTCGAAAACAAACATAAACAATTCGACCGTGAATGTAGAACATTAGTCTGCAAAGCGAAAAAACCAAGCTTATCCATCGCATTACTTGCTTCACGAAAATTATGAGAAACCCCAGTATTAAGCTGAGTAGCCATATTCATTTCCTTGAGCCATCTATTAGGATACTTCCATGACGCATAATCTTCAGACATAGTGCAAAGGAGATCAACCACACACAACAAGAGTCATTCTCAATCCAAAGATATTACACCAGTTGAATCCATAAGCCTTCTCAATAGCTAACATGAGGCCCGTAAGTTCCGCTTCAAAAGCAAAAGCAATGCCATGGGAGCTGAAAAAACCCTTTACAAAACCTTGACGAGTCTGAAAAATACCTACAGCTTGCCCGACCCGAGGTCCCCTTGCAGCTTCACCCGTATTAACTTTGATCCAGCCCGGAGGGGGAGAAAGCCAGTGAACCATGAGACTAAACGGAGAGCGGAATTAGATATAGGTCCAGTATCTAATAGATTTATTTCTTTCGTCAGAGCCCAAATGAAAGCTTTAATCGAATGAAATGTAATGATTTTATCTTCAAAGACAGCTTGATTCTTAAGATACCAAATGTACTAACAAACAACAGAAAATGCTGTTTTCCAAGTCCCATAAATCCGCGTGACGAATTTTTCTCGAAAAAGAAAGAAAAACATAAGAAAATTTCAAAATTATCTTCAAAGTGAATTCTTCTCACAAAACATTAGCAATCGACTTCCAAAGAACTTGTACCTACACCAGACAATATGGCTAATTCACCAAAGGAGCTTTTGTTGAATCCTTAATCCAACATTAGGCTTATATGTAAATAATTATGTGTTGCAAACTGTCATATAAGGAAAAGTCTATTTAAAAGTGATATGCTAAGGTTTAGGTAATTTGGGCTTTAATGTATCTAATAGGATGTAGGCCTTTAATGTGTAGAGATTTAAGAGTAATTTCTAATTTTATGATGGGCTAAAATAGAATTACTAAAAGATAACAAAGAAATTCTCTATATATAGTGGTTATGGTCCTCAGATCACACGTGACATTCTATTCTTTCTGGCATCCCATCATCAGAGAGAGCAGTCAAAAAGTTAAAGGATTCTCTAGAAAAACGTGTTGATCTGGAAGACAAACCGCACGGCTCTAGAGAATAATTTATTGTCATGCATTCAAGTACGCTTCCGCTTACTGTTCTCTTGATTCTTGGTGATCCAACATGAATGTTCTTGAATTTCATTGGATGACAGTTTTCACCAAAGGATATTTTGTAACAACGTTTAGTACCATTTTCTAAGTTCCTAGAGGAATGTGGTATTGTCCCATAGTACACTATGTCAGGTTCCCCCATTATATATGGTGTTGCTGAAAGATGAAACATGATGCTTAACGACATGGTGAGGAGTATGATTTATCATTCTACCTTACCAAAAACACTCTAGGGAGAAGCGCTTAAAACTACAACATATATCCTTTATAGGGTTCTAACTAAAGTGACTGTTAAAACCCCTATGAACTTTGGACGGGCAAGAAACCTAATTTAAAGCACTTGCACATTTGAGAATGTCCAGTTGAGGTAAGGCCTTAAGGCTAGGCCTTATAGGCCTAATGAAATGAAACTAGATTCAAGAACTGTGAGTTACTATTTTATTGGATACTCTAAAAGATATAGGGAGTACAAGTTTTATGATCCCGCGACTAACTCGATTTTCGAGTCAGGAAATGCCGGGTTCTTCGAGGATACCAAGTTTGTGGGGGGAGATACAGTTAGAGACTTTCTCTTTGAAAAGGAATATGTTGATATTCCCACAGGTGCTATTAGCATCGCTGAGGATTCCATTCCTGACTTTGTTCAAGACACAACAGACCAAGACGATGTCAAAGAACCTCCAATTCAAGAAATTATTCCAAAAGAACAAACCCTACCACTTTAAGAACCTATGCCATTAAGGAGATCAACTAGAGAAAGGAGAAGTGCAGTGCCAGATGACTACATTGTTATTTCTCTAAGAATATGAGGTTTATATTGGAGAGATGGAAGATGATCCGATCAACTTCTGTCAAGCCATGGAAAGTTTTAAGTCTCAGAAGTGGATTGATGCCATGAATAAGAAGATTAAGTCCATGAAGGACAATTACGTGTGGGACCTTGTCCCATTGCCGGAATGTGCGAAACTCATTGGTTGCAAATAGATATTTAAGACCAAGAAGGATTCGAAAGGCGATGTGGAGAGGTACAAGCCTCGTCTTATCACAAAGGGCTTTACACAAAAGGAAGGCATCGACTATAAAGAGACTATCTCCAATTTGGCGGCACATTTCAATCTTGAATTACATCAGATGGATGTAAAGACAACGTTTCTCAATGGCAACATTGATGAGACGATCTATATGGTGAACCAGAAAACTGTGTCGAGAGACCCAAAGAATATGGTTTGCAAACTTAAGAAACTCATCTATGCACTCAAACAAGCATCTCGACAATAGTATTTCAAGTTTCATCAAATGATCATCTCGTTCGATTTTGAGACGAATTTGGTCGATGATTGCATATATCATAAGTTTATGTGGGAGCAAGTATATTTTTCTGGTTTTATATATCGATGACATTTTACTCGTCAATAACGATATAGGCTTATTGCATAAAATCAAGAGATTTCTAGCTAAGAATTTTGAGATGAAAGATCTTGGTGACGCCACTTTTGCATTAGGCATACAGATGCACCGCAATCGTTCTCGGGGTATTCTTGGATTATCACAAAAGAACTATATCGAAAAGGTTATATGGCATGCAGGATTACAAACCAGATGATACCCCTGTGACAAATGGATACAAGTTTAGTCTCAATCAGTACCCTAAAAATGATTTTGAGGAAATGAAAATAGAAAAGATTCCTTATGCATCAGCAATAGGAAGTCTAATGTATCCTCAAGTTTGTACGCGTCCAGATATTGTGTACATTGTTTGGGATGTTGGGCAGATATTTAAGCAATTCAAGAGTAGACCATTAGAAAGCAGCCAAACGGGTCTTGCGGTATTTACAGAGAACAAAGGACTACATGCTCACGTATCAGAGGTTTGATTAGCTTGAAATCATTGGGTATACTGACTCTAATTTTGTTAGATGGCAAGATAGTATGAAATCTACGTCGGGCTATATCCACCTGCTAGCTGGTGGTGCGGTCTCTTGGAAGAGTGCTAAACAGTCTTTTATAGCCTCTTCTACCACGGCGGCAGAGTTCATAGCGTGTTATGGGGCGTCCAATCACAGAATATGGCTACGGAATTTTGTCACAGGGCTGCGCATAGTGGACGGTATTGAAAGACCACTCAAGTTATTTTGTGACAATAAGTCGATAATTCTGTATTCCAACAACAGGAGCTCGAAGAAGTCGAAACATATAAACATCAAGTTCCTAGTTGTTAAAAAAAGAGTTCAGAATGGATAGATATGTATAGAGCACATCGTTACAAACTCCATGGTTACAGATCTGCTTACTAAGGGATTGCCACCCAAAGTATTTCATGAGCACACTGCTCTTATGGGTGTCATGTCATTTGAGGATATTCAGTTTTAGTGGGAGTTTGTAAATTTATATGCTTTTCTGATATAGACACATTTTTAATTATTTTAGTTTATGGATATTTTGAGGTTTATTCTGCAAAAATAAAGTTTTGGTTTATTTACACGCTAATTTTGGTATAATTTGATCTCACTGAGGTTTAAGGCTAGACCAGTTGGAAATAGACATGTTAAGATCACATTGCATAAAATTTACATGCTACACATCCACATTATGATCCATGTCATTTAGTTGTATCGGTATACATGACCATTGATGGGTCGAGTTACGACAGATGTAACGAAGGCCACTTTGATCCTATGTTGGTATGGTTGATGGACCGGATTTATTATAGATACATTTCGGTAATGACAGCAAAGTTGAGCTCGTACAGTTATTTTGTAATGCATTATTATAAGGATACACATATAGCCCAAATGGGAGATTGTTGGATCCTTAATCCAACATTAGGCTTATATGTGAATAATTATGTGTTGCAGACTGTCATCTAAGGTTAAGCCCATTTAAAAGTGATCTGCTAAGGTTTAGGCAAATTGGGCTTTAATGTATATGATAAGGTGTGAGCCTTTAATGTGTAGAGACTTAAGGGTAATTTCTATTTTTTATAATGGGCTAAAATATAAATACTAAAAGATAACATGTAAGTTATCTATATATAGTGGTTATGGTCCCTGATCACATGTGACATTTTATTCTTTCTAACACCCCATCATCAGAGAGAAAGCAGTGAGAATAACTAAAGGATTCTCTAGGAAAGTGTGTTGATCTGAAAAACAAACTGCACGGCTCTAAAGAGTAATTTATTATCGTGAATTCAATTATGCTTCTGCTTATTGATCTATTAATTGTTGGTCATTCAACATGAAGGTCCTTAGATTTTATTAGGTGGCAATTTTCACCAAAGGATCAGCTTCTACATATAAATTATATACGACACTCATCAATATAGTAATGGATACAATTACGAAATAAAAAACAACAATATATATATACACACACACACACACATATATATATATATATGTATAAATGGATGTGTCCGTGTACACATGTTTGACGATCAGTATTGAGAGGTGAACCAGTTGCCCCTTTCAACTGTCCTCTTGCACTATGAGTCATCATTCTAATTAGCAACGAAGGTTTCATGAAGCGACCTCATCGTGTGGTTTTCGGATCACAAGCAAGCAACGTTATGTACTACTTCTTTCAGACCGTAAAACATTAACTTTTTTTCTACCTATCAACTAAACAACAAAGATATAACGTGCATGCTTTGAAAATTAACAAGAATGATGAAAAATTTTTGCTTCATACCTTCTTCTTAAGAGAATTGATCTCCTTTACAACTCTTTGATCCTGAACAAACCAAAAAACATACCCTTTTCGTAACTTGAAATGTGCGAGAGGCGCATCAAACTGATCCAAAAAACAAACCTTTAATTCTGCAACGCGGCTCAAGCCTGCCTCCACCATTTTTTCTAGTTCCTTTATCTCTTCAAGGCTTAGTTCTTGGAGCTCTTCTCCCTTCATACGCCTGTAAAGTTGGGAATTATGAATTCCATTGTGGGAATGTAGTACATATGAGTAATCTTAGAAAAACTTAGTTTATATATATATATATATATATGAGTTATTACATGGCTATACCTTAGTTCAGTCGTCTTCTCCTCAAGTTCTGCCTTCAACGAGTCTAATCTATTTCTTTCGTGCTACATTTAATAGAATACACCAAAGGAAATGTCATTTACAAAAGGTGTGTTACTGATGTTAATGCATGCAGCTAAATGCTCTTATGAAACCCTAAAATCAACACAAGTAATTGTTTCTTTCACGAAAGTTTCTTGTTAATTTGAATATTGTTTGGTTTAGCGATCGCCTTTATCATCCCGGTTTTTCTTAGTCAGAATACTCTCCTTCCAAGTTTCAGAACCCCTTTCTTTGTGATTCATTTGTTTGTTCATGTGTTTAAATAAACTGTGAGAAGGAATAAATGATGTTAATATTAGAGATAAATATTACATCCTAACTAAGTTGACATCCACTAAATAATCTCATCTTTTACCAAAATCCTAAATTCATCTGTTTCTTCGTGATACATACATTTATAAAATCAAATACCTTCAAACAGATTGGGATGAGGAGCATAGATCTTTTCTTCCACTATCAATTACTAAAATGAGCATTGTATTTGACTCTTCTAGCTCACGCCTCTTAATAACCTCTTAAGTTTTGAAGGGATGCTTTTTTTTTTCTGCCTTTCTCATAAATAGGTTGCCAACACAATTATTCTTGATGATAAATCTCTTTTGTTAAGCTCTTAATTCTCGAAAACCAAAACTAGTGTATTTCAAGCATGGTTTTTGTTTCACGAGCCTGTCATAAATTTGATCTGAACCTCCTTATGTATATTAATTTTGAGGTACATTTCTTTATCACGAAGGTTATAAATGTTTGCGTCCCTCTATTTATGATATGCATTGCTAGAGGGTGTGATCTTCAATGAACATGAGTTTCCTTATTCAATTCTAATTTCAAACGACAAATTTATGAATTCTTGTAATAAGGGTAATCTTGACAATTACCTTTTAAAAAGTGCATGGGTCAGGATTTACCCTTTACTCTTGATTCATAACCTTTTTAGTGAAATAATTACACTAATAAAAGGGTATTTATTAAGAGTAAGGGGTAAAGGTCTAGAATCATGCACTCTCATGGGTAAATTCTCCATTTTTTCTTGTAATTAATAATTAATTAATAAATGTTTCTTCTACAACTCCACGCTTTTGACTTCGAAATGTCATTTTGACGATTAAATTTTTATTCAATTAAAAGTTTGTTTGAGTGAGCTAACACCCCACATATACATGGGATGTTAGTCGATAACTTTCTAAGCTATATGATACATAAGCTTAGTACTTTTGCTAGCTATTCTTTCTAACATCATTGATTCTAGCGAACGAACTTCTAAGTATTCTTTTTGTAGACAGTTTGTTCACCTTTGAGCAATCTGCTTTTTTTTTTTTTTTTCCTAGTCGAAAATCGGCTAATTTATTTTGGGGTGATAATGTATTTGCATTTATCTTTTTATATAGGGTGAGGCTTATGGCTTCCACTTTATATAAAAAAGGAAACCATCAGAATGACACACACTCACGCCCCCAACTTTTGAGCTCGAATAGTGTATTTCCATGTGTGTGTATATCCTTTATGAATTTATTTGTTCATAGTGTTGTTATGTATTTAACTTGATGAGTGTATACGCGCGCGCAAATATATATATATATATATATATTCGTCTCTACATCTCTCTCTATACACACACATACACGCAGATATGTGTCTATCTTGATAAATTTGTTTCTGTATACAACTTTTTATCCTTAATTGTTTTCTAATAATAGAGGAAGTAAAAAGTTTCTAAAATCTTTTTTTTTTTTTTTGAAAATATTGGTAACATCATTTTTTGAGAAAACTAAAGAGAAGGAATAACTAATATAAAAATTAACTTTTCTAAAGAAGGAAAAAATAATTAACGATTAAGTGTTATACTAATTAGCAAGTCTAAGTATATACATTCGGTTTATGTGTTCAATTTATTTCAAGAAAAAAATAAATTGTACATGTGTTTAACATCTTACCTCGAGTGCATCAAGAGATGGTTGGCTGACCAATTTGTCAGGATTTTCTGAATGAAAACTATACCTTTCAATCACTTGCTGCATACTTTAAACAACAAGAGAGACAACAGAATTCCATAGAAAGATTAATATTAGAATATATAAAGCACTGCCAAAAAAAAAGGTCTTAACTTCAATTATAGAATTGTGTTATGTGACTATATATATTATAACCAACTACAAGATACATCGAGACATATTGTACTGTTATTCTCTCTAAAAAAAATGAAAGTTACAATATTATACTGCGAATTATAGTTGTATTAAGTATATATATTGTGCTTTTTTTTTTCTCTTCTTCGTTTTCATATCCCATATCCAACATTCTAATTTCTATTTTCTTCTTTTCCTTCACGGTCCTAATCTCCTAAATATTGGTGGTCAATTGTTACGTATATATATAATTCTCTTAGTTACATTTGTGTCCTTTTTATTGTTATTATTATTTTGTTGATTATTGCTCCGCTACATGGTTTTATAAAGCTTTTGTGTCTTTACTAATATTGTCTGATTAAATGAACGTCTTACCACAGATAATTTTCCTGAATTTAGAATTTTCAGAGAATACCTTCCAATAGCTCCAAACTAAACTTATGATTAAGTACATATCCCTAATTGGAACGACACAACATTTTCTGAAGATACAATATTTAATGTCCTACAACTAATTGATTGGTACGGCAGTCCACTAACACATGCTTGCGTGTGATATATATGAATTACTTTATTGGCAAACACACAAGAGAATTACTAAGTTAATGACTAGAAGTTTCAAACATATTATCCTAACTATTCTTCCCAAAAACTTTTAAACATGATATATATGCAACAACAAAAAAAATGAAAAATTTAACAATTACATATTCTATCCACTTGTTCATATATATATATAGCAACAATTCCTGAAGAATGGAGAGAAAGATAATGCATCAATGTGTATATATATACATGTGTGTGTGTGTGTAATTACGTATTAATAAAGAGTACTGACAAATCACAAGTTCAAAGTAAAGAAACTTGAGTCAATATTAGTTGTAGCTTAATTTGTATTGAAAAATGCAAGTACTTTTTTCTTTTTATGTGAAAAATACTTGATATAAGTACTTTTTTATCCTTTATTGGGTTCCCTAAAGATGGTATAAGTACTTCTGATAAGAAAATACATGAGTACTTTCAACAAGAGAAAATGTACTCAACTTTACAGGAGTGCAATTACGAATATATACTGTAAACACATATTCATGGTGTACTAGATTGATTACAATATTGCTAAGTGAAATGGGAAATAACTATTAACTGGCTTCCACATTTGGTTAAAAGTTACAATGAAGGTACAAATTAAGTAGAAGTCACAAGAACACTTCAAGCTGCCCTTAATGACTGAAAATCATTCATTGTTTTCCTAGGTCCATTGCTTTCTCTCACAGATTAAAAAGTATATATCCAAAATTTTATGTTTTGATCTATAATACTATTCCATGTATTGGTTAGTAAATATACATTTCTTTTAATGTTAAGACTAATGAATTTGTGTTCATTCTAATAGCGAGCCTTTTTGGTTAGATTTAGTTACATATATCGATATATATATATATATAGAAATTAGATTTCATGTACTTGTTTGTGAAACAATGCAATTGCAAGTAACAAATACTAAAAAAAAAAAAAAAAGTAAAATAAAATAAATGAGAAATTATTAGGAGTTAAAAAACCTTGAGCTGGAATATTCAAAGAGCTTTCCGGTGGCAGAAAACACAAGGAGAGCAATCTCAGCATCACAAAGAGTAGAGAGCTCCAAAGCCTTCTTGAAAAGCCCTCTTCTTCTCTTCGAAAACGTCACTTGCCTCGCCGTGATGTTGTCGATCTTCTTTATCTCTATTTTCTGCCTCGTCATAATGATAAGAAACATTTATTATTTTATAGCTTGTACTTTCAGTTTATAACTAACATACTTTTTTATTATAGATTTTCTTAAAGTTGTAGTTACCAATTTTAGTTTAAATTTATGTTAAATTTGCACTTTTTTTTTTATGCTGTGTTTGGTAGTTAAAAAAGGTGAAATAACTAGTTCTTTCCCTTTTATTTTCCTCACTTAGGTTTTTATCTTCCCTCTTATTCCTATGTTCCGTCCTTCTCACCAAACATAATGTAAGAGTCCGTTTGGTTAGAGGATTCGTTCTCTGATTCGAATCCTAGTTCATGATTTATTACAGTATTTTCTCTCATAAAAAATACACGTAAATTGAAAATAATTCTAATCCATGAACCAAACGGGGTAGTCAATAACTAATTTGAATTTACGAATGTCAACATTTATAACTAAGTTGAAAGTAAATTTTTTTTTCAACAAATAATACTTGATTTATATTTTATTATTGATTTATATTTTGTTTATAAAATCTAAAAAATAATTTGGTCAACTAAAGGACCAAAATCAACTCCGTTGACTTAAAAAGTAAAAATAAATAAATAAACATAAATTTAAAATTGAAAAGTAAAATTTTCAACACATTTAAAAAGGAAGTTTCTCTATAGTCTGTTCTACCGATAGTCTCAATTTTTAGCTGTTAGAAATGGTCAAAATTACATCAGAATAAAAAAATATACAGAATAGACAGATTCTAATACAAATTTGACGATTGAAAAGTAAGAGACTATAAGTAGTTTATTTTGCAGGGACTACCAGAGAAAGTCCCTAAAAAAAACCGTATATCTTTTTTAAGGACTTTCTCTAGTAGGCTTTCCTACTAGTAATTTCAGTTTCTGACCGTTAGATCTAATTAAAATCACATCAAATTAAAAAATACGTAAAATAAATAGTTTTTTATACATATCTAATAGCTGAAAAATAAAAAACAAATAATAATTCATTTTTTTTAGATCCTACTAAAGGTACTCCTTTTTTTATAATAAACTCAAAAGGTAAATAAATTCATTAAAAAATCAAAATGCAACAAATATCTATCAAATAACCCAAAATAAACTCCCTCAAGGGGAAAACACAACAATCCGAAATGTACCGTTTTAAAAACCAATTGATTTCATACACACTCCCATGAATTTGTTATAATGTTTTAACATGCTCTCTAAATTTTTAAAAGGAGTTCATTTTATCCTTTCAAATGTGAAAAGTAGTTCAAAATACACGTCTTAAATTAATATTATTTTTAAGGATAAATTGCACGAATAGTTCTTAAACTTTTTAAAAGATAATAGTTTGGTCCTCAAAATTTTTTTTTTGACAAAATGAACCCCAAACTATTTAAAATGGTGCAATGTAGTCATTTCCGTCAGATGTCATCCAAAAAGTAACGCATAATAACCTAAAAGGGTGACATTATAGTCTCTTACTTCTTTATGAGGTGATTTTTTAGTCCTAATCGACTTTAATAGGTTAGAATTTGGTCATATTTTTGAATGGCATTTAACGAAAAGCATGACATTACGTCCTTTTAAATAGTTTGAGACTCGTTTCGTAAAAAAAAGTTTAGGGACTAAACTATCACCTTTTAACAAGTTTGGGGACTATTCATACCCATTACTCTATTTTTAATGTTCCATTAACTATTGATTTTGTATCAGTTTATCCCCGATCCTTTAAAACATATGTAGAAAAGTAGACACAAAAATAATAATTATGAAAATCAAGAGTTATGGGGCATTGTAAAAGTATAAGAGCGTTAAGTCATCATTTTATTTGTTTTATAAATGTGAGCATTTTGATTAGAGTGATATAATTAAGAAAGTAGAATGAATCGTTGTAAAAAAACAGAGGGACCATTTTGAAATGGAATAAAAAGTTGAGGGGCATTATGAAATTAATTCAAAATTAAATAAAAATAAGTTTTGCAACACTTTTTTTCGTACTATTAGTTTATCTATATTTTTTTCTCAAAAGTTTTTTTTAATACGTTTAATTAATAAGTTATGTCCGTATATCCTTTTTAAGGACTTTCTCTAGTAGGCTTTCCTACTAGTAATTTCAGTTTCTAACCGTTAGATCTAATTAAAATCACATCAAATTAAAAAATACGTAAAATAAATAGTTTTTTATACATATCTAATAGCTGAAAAATAAAAAACAAATAATAAGCATTATGAAATTAATTCAAAATTAAATAAAAATAAGTTTTGCAACACTTTTTTTCGTACTATTAGTTTATCTATATTTTTTTCTCAAAAGTTTTTTTTAATACGTTTAATTAATAAGTTATGTTTTTTTAATCATTAAGAGAATATTTTGTTGGATGATTCAAACTATGATTTGAATTATAGTTCATAGTTCATTATAATATTTTTTCTCGTAAAAAATACACATAAATTAAAAATAATTTTAATCACATAATTTTAATTTATGAACTAAACACCTCTTAAATTTAAACATTTTTTAATTTTATATAAATTTAATAGTTAAAAATTTAACCTACTCATATATCAGGTACCAGAAGAGTTATTTTTTTCTCTTTTTTTTGTTTGAAAAAAGTTTATCTGTTTTTGTATATGGTCAGGCTGCTTTCCGTGCAGATAGCCACGCTGCATAGCTGTGCAGAAATTATGACATGTTTGTACCCTCGTACCCACTCTGTTCAACATCTCTTTTTTTTTTTTGACAAAACGAACCCTAAACTATTTAAAATGGTGCAATGTAGTCATTTCCGTCAGATGTCGTCCAAAAAATAACGCATAATAACCTAAAAGGGTGACATTATAGTCTCTTACTTCTTTATGAGATGATTTTTTAGTCCTAATCGACTTTAATAGGTTAGAATTTGGTCATATTTTTGAATGGCATTTAACGAAAAGCACGACATTACGTCCTTTTAAATAGTTTGAGACTCGTTTCGTAAAAAAAAGTTTAGGGACTAAACTATCACCCTTTAACAAGTTTGGGGACTATTCGTACCCATTACTCTATTTTTAATGTTCCATTAACCATTGATTTTGTATCAGTTTATCCCCGATCCTTTAAAACATATGTAGAAAAGTAGACACAAAAATAATAATTATGAAAATCAAGAGTTACGGGGCATTGTAAAAGTATAAGAGCGTTAAGTCATCATTTTATTTGTTTTATAAATGTGAGCATTTTTATTAGAGTGATATAATTCAGAAAGTAGAATGAATCATTGTAAAAAACAGAGGGACCATTTTGAAATGGAATAAAAAGTTGAGGGGCATTATGAAATTAATTCAAAATTAAATAAAAATAAGTTTTGCAACACTTTTTTTTCGTACTATTAGTTTATCTATATTTTTTTTCTCAAAAGTTTTTTTTAATACGTTTAATTAATAAGTTGTGTTTTTTTAATCATTAAGGGAATGCTTTGTGAGAAGATTCAAACCATGATTTAAATCATAGTTCATAATTCGTTATAATATTTTTTCTCGTAAAAAATACATATAAATTAAAAATAATTTTAATCATGATTTTAATTTAAGAATAAAATATCTCCTAAATTTAAACATTTTCTAATTTTATATAAATTTAATTATATCGGGTACAGAAGAGTTATTTTTTTCTCTTTTTTTTGTTTGAAAAAAGTTTATCTGTTTTTGTATATGGTCAGGCTGCTTTCCGTGCAGATAGCCACGCTGCATAGCTGTGCAGAAATTATGACATGTTTGTACCCTCGTACCCACTCTGTTCAACATCTCTTCAATTTATCACGATATGATAAATTGAAAATTATTGCCCTTTAAGGAAGGAATTTGACAACTTGCAACGAAACTAATAACTACAATGACGCATGATTATGCCTCATCCATGACGCATGATCTGTTGGATTGACACTGGACCCATCACATTATTGCTATTTATTTAAACACGAATGGCACACTGGATTATTACCAGCCTCATAAATATTTGATCGGAAAAAGAAAATTTCAAATACCGTCTAATTTATTTCGTGATTTAAATTTTTAATTTTAATTTTATTATAATTAAAATTTTTTAAAAATTATCATACTTAATTTTTTTATTACAGTTAAAATTTTTTACATAAATTTAGTGAGAATTTTTTATTATAATAAAAAAAATTAGATGTAATTTTTTATAAAAATTTTTAACTGTAAAAAAATTAAAATTAAAAATTTAAATCGGTAAAATAAATGAGACTTAATTAATAAATAGTATAATGTTATGGTATAGCTCAATATTGAACTTGAAGTTGCAATGGTAGCTAACCTGAGTTTGAAAAAAAAAATACTGATGAGGAGTTGATTTATATGAGCATCACTTTTTTTTCGTACTATTAGTTTATCTATATTTTTTTTCTCAAAAGTTTTTTTTAATACGTTTAATTAATAAGTTGTGTTTTTTTAATCATTAAGGGAATGCTTTGTGAGAAGATTCAAACCATGATTTAAATCATAGTTCATAATTCGTTATAATATTTTTTCTCGTAAAAAATACATATAAATTAAAAATAATTTTAATCATGATTTTAATTTAAGAATAAAATATCTCCTAAATTTAAACATTTTCTAATTTTATATAAATTTAATTATATCGGGTACAGAAGAGTTATTTTTTTCTCTTTTTTTTGTTTGAAAAAAGTTTATCTGTTTTTGTATATGGTCAGGCTGCTTTCCGTGCAGATAGCCACGCTGCATAGCTGTGCAGAAATTATGACATGTTTGTACCCTCGTACCCACTCTGTTCAACATCTCTTCAATTTATCACGATATGATAAATTGAAAATTATTGCCCTTTAAGGAAGGAATTTGACAACTTGCAACGAAACTAATAACTACAATGACGCATGATTATGCCTCATCCATGACGCATGATCTGTTGGATTGACACTGGACCCATCACATTATTGCTATTTATTTAAACACGAATGGCACACTGGATTATTACCAGCCTCATAAATATTTGATCGGAAAAAGAAAATTTCAAATACCGTCTAATTTATTTCGTGATTTAAATTTTTAATTTTAATTTTATTATAATTAAAAATTTTTAAAAATTATCATATTTAATTTTTTTATTACAGTTAAAAATTTTTACATAAATTTAGTGAGAATTTTTTACTATAATAAAAAAAATTAGATGTAATTTTTTATAAAAATTTTTAACTGTAAAAAAATTAAAATTAAAATTTTAAATCGGTAAAATAAATGAGACTTAATTAATAAATAGTATAATGTTATGGTATAGCTCAATATTGAACTTGAAGTTGCAATGGTAGCTAACCTGAGTTTGAAAAAAAAAAAAAAATACTGAGGAGGAGTTGATTTATATGAGCATCTTTATTGCATGAGACGGAAGAAGAGATTCTCTTTTTGTTTATTTATTTATTTTTTGATACAAGACATCTTGTTGTTTTTTTTTTTTTGTTTTTTTTATACAAGACTGGAATGAATTTACAACCTTTCCCGAAGATGTTTGTGGATTTAGAAAATTTATTTCAATTTCATCTCTTGTGTACTTTCTGGACAAACCAAATATAACAAAACGAGGGGAAAAAATCCTCAAATAGATTCTAAAAAATATTTTAAAATTTAAAACATAAAAATTACAAAACAAACATAATATTTAGAAAAAACATATATGTAATTTAATTTTTTTTAATATTTAAAATACTTATCATAAATTTTCTAAAAGAATCATAGTTTCGTGTTTTTAAAGTGTTTAAAATTTTTTTCTCAAATATTTTTGAAGAAAAACACATTATAATCGGTGTAATTTGGAGTATTTTTGGGCTTGTTCTTTTGGGTGAAAAACTCAAAAAAATATAACTTGAGTTACAACTTTATTCGAATTCATGTTCTTTTAAGTTTAAACTCGAGTTTAAACTCGAGTTCAAATTCGAGTTTATGACTAAAACTCGAGTTTAAGTTTCCCATTCAACTCGAGTTCAGAAACTCGAACTCAAATTAATGAACAGTATTTTTTCTATTCTATGCTATAACTTTTTCGTTTTAATTCTAATTGAGATGATTTTTTTTCTATGCGTTGACAACGAAAAGACGTATAAAACCCGACCCATATACCATATTAAAATTTTTCATCAGCATTGAGTTTTTATTAAAATACTATCTAAATACAAATTCAAGTTTTGACTCACTCAAACACAAACTCAAAAAGATTCTTATCTCAAACCATAACTCAAATGTACACAACTAAACACAAACTTAAGTTACAAGTTCAACTCAAGTTATAACTCAAATTTAACTCAAGAATTATAAGTTAAACTCTAAAAGAACAAGCCATTTGTGTTTTGTTCTTTTTGTCTCAAAGTGCGTGAAAGAGGAAAAAGCAAGTTTTTTTTTTTTTTTTTTTTAAAGAAACTTGTGGATACCTATGTAGTTTTTCAAAATATAGGGATAAATTACAAAATAAATCAATAAATAAAATGCTAGAACGTATATTGAGGTAATTACCCCACTGGACTAATAATTTTAGTTCAATTTTACTCATAAAAAGTGCGTTCAGTTTTTATGAATAAATTAAAATAGCCAAGTAATCCCTCTCGCCCTAAATAGATCTTTTTGGGTGAGATCAGTGAAAAAAGTTGAATTTTTTGTTTTTTTTTTTTTTTGGGCTAAGTCGATTTGCCACATGAGGGGAGAGATATCTCTCGTAAGTCAAAACAGCTTGAACTCAAGATGAGAAAGCCCAGAGCTGCCTGATTACATCATCTATAATCCAATGAACAAATACAGAATTTTAAGAACACGGATTATCACAAATTTTATATGCCCGTTTAATTCATTGATTCGAGTTTTTAATTAAAATTAATATGTGATTTTATATGAAAATTTTTTACTGTAATAAAAAAAGTTAAATATAATTATTTTTTAAAAAATTTATTATAAATAAAATTTAAATCGATAAAATAAATGAGTTATAAAGGTATCGTTCACTTTACGGATTCAAATTTTCAATTTGAATTGAGATGTAATATTTTTTAAAAAATTTTTACTATAATAAAAAAAATTAAATTTTATTATAAAAATTTAAAATTAAAAATTTAAATTGATAAAATAAACAGATACGGCGCTATACATACTTATAACTCAAACCAGTAGCGATTGATTTTTATTTTGTTATAGATAAATTCCAAAGTCAGAGCTTCGCATCGCATGTCTCTTCAGCCAACTAACTTCAAGATACCGCTGGCAAGTGCTAGGTTTCATTGATTTTGATCCAACAAGTGTCGCCTCACATAGACCCACGCGCCATCTTAGGAAGAGAGACACATCTGAGCCTAATTTAAAAAGTATATTTAGTGAGCATTTAAGTGTCATTCATTTTATCGATTTAAGTTTTTAATTTTAAATTTTTACAGTAAAAAATTCTTAAAAAATATCGCATATAACTTTATTTGTTACAGTGAAAAACTCTAAAAAATATCGCATCTCAACTCGAATCGCGAAGTGAACGAGACCTTAGTTGATGAATTTAAAATTATATTTTAAAATTATATTTATTTTACGTGTATTTTTTATGAGAAAAAATACTGTAAAAAATTATAAATTATGATTCAAAATTAATGATAAATATAAAAAATAAATATCTCCTTAATTTATAAATCATAATTTTTAATTCCAACTTTTAAAATTTAAATTTTTATAAAAAATAAATATTATAACAAAATCAATAATTTAGTTTAAATATATAAAAACAAACCCACCTTAAGAGTCCGTGATACTTTTCTTTTATTTGTACCATATTGTGGATTTATATATTAACTAGTCAACTACATAACTTTTTTTATTTAAGAATTATTGGATGCATTTAGAGTTGTTTTCGTTTGTTTTTCACGTTTTTTGATAAAATAAATAAATAAAAACAAGAGAAAAACAGTATTTCACACAATTAAAAAAAAATAAAAATAATTTTTAATTTAGTATAAAATAAAAGAAATAAAAAATGACTTTTAATCGTTTTTTATTTTTTATTTCTATTTTCTCATCTCTAAAGTAGAGATAGATTATTAAATTTTTTTATATTAAAAATAATCTCTTAAAAAAACTACAAAATACATTTTTAAAAATAATTTTTGTCTAAAATTAAAAATATTTTTATTTCTATTATCATACAAAAAATAAAATTATTTTAAAATAAATTCTAAACGCACCTGTTATCATCAATATTCCTAACTTTCAAGTCGTTTCTATTTTACGTCATGTTGTTAAAAAAATGACTTAAAATTTAGAGTAATTGTACTCTCATTTGTATACATGTTTTGATTAAAGCTCCATTCTTTCCATGTCATAATTTAACCTTTTTACTGCAACATTTTTTCTCATAAAAATTCAACAAACTCCTCAAACCGAAGAAAGGAATGGGGCATAAACCTTCCTACAATCAAACCTCCCTATGGCTTTTTGTTTCAGACATTCGAGACCTCAGTCTCATAGAATTTCTGTAGGTATCAATAAATAAAATTAAAAGTTGTTTACTAAAATGGTTGAACAAGATGCTTAAAACCGTGTCATCCACACATGGCACTTCCATTTATTTGAAAGGCCTTGCATATACAAACCTGCTTTACACTTCTAAAGAATGCTCCTTTGAATGGACTTCTCTTTGAATCAAAACTCAAATAATATAAAATAAAGTACACCTCTAACTATATACTGAGACACGCCTATCTCTTTAATCCAATAATATATTGCTTGTCATATAATTTATTCCAATACTGCTCCACATCTTCATCTTGACTCAGGAAAGGGTAACCTGCAAAATAATTTATTTATTCAGAGGCTGAAATTTAGAAAAAATAGTTTCCATCTATATATGTACGTATATATAAAACTCAACTATGCCACTATTAGAACATGGCTTCTAATCAACATCACCAGTTGTGCAACCAATAGCTCACAAAAAATACGTAAACCGAGAATGATTTTAAATCGTTATTTTAAATCCATAAACCAAAACGTCCACTAAGTCAACTAAGTCAGACGTGTACAGAGACAAAAAAAAAATATGTATATATATATATATATATCATTAATATGAAATTAATCAATAATGTCATTTATCAAATTTTTTCATGTAGGAAATAATGTGATTGATGAATACTAATTACCCCAACTTGAGAGCAGTATCCGAGCTATCATGGTCTTCCGGAAGGTCGGCCGAACTGCAGATTCCGGTGATTGAATCAGATGACTGGCCTTGTTCACCGGGATCTGCCGGAACTACGATTGCTCCTGCCGTCTGCTTAAGAGCTCTCACCAAAATATTGTCACGAAAATGAACAAAACTAATGAAAGAACAAAAGAAAGTGATTCAAAGCTTCCAGCTATCCGCTTTCTTTATGTTTGTTTTGTGTCTTTGAGCTTAAACTTGTTTCGGCCACTTTCTTTTCTTGAGGTTATTTGGTTTGAACAAATTGCGTAGCATGCCATTAAATTCCAACATATAGCTTTTAGTCATCTAATATTTCACTATGTTAATTTTATTATTCTACCAGAATACTCTATTAAGACCGGAGTCGGAGACGCCCAGTCATTTTTATAGAGGGGATGATGTTAATCTAGTAGAATATTTTCTAAATAATTGAGGGGCATAAATGTTAAGATTATATCGTTAAAAGGCATACATGTAAAGATAGTATTTTTTAAGTCGTATTTTTGTATTTCTCTGTCAAACTTTTTTTATTTTTAAACAAATGACCAGAGAGAATGAACATCTCAGCTAAGTTAGCATCTGAAACCCCTACCTACCTCATCCTGTACGTACTAAACCCTCACATGTATATTATTAAAATAAGATAATAATAAAAGTATAAAGGTAATGTATCAACCAAAAGGCCAGAAGGACAAAGCCAAAACTTAGAAAACCAAAGAAATAAAAGATAAAAATGTTCCTAGTAAAGCAAATGAGATGACAGTCATCCGAGTGATCAACTTTCTCAATCAAAGATTAAGAAAGGCCTCGTTAGAACCAGCCACTTTACTAAAAGAAGAGATTGCCAGAGGGTGCATGTGATATTGATGAGAAACGGCCAAGGGCTGCTTGTCTATACTCGGAAGAAGAAGCATGATATTAGTAATTAGGCTAGGCCGATGTGCTGATGTGGCTTTCGTAACTGATTCGGTTGGTTGTTAGCTTGAAAGTTAGTCTGTTAGCAAGAAAGAATTGTAAATAGGGCTGATGAGTGAATAAGGCTGAGGAGCTTATAAATAGGAGGGATCGGGAGAGGTTAAGCAGTTTTGGGAAAAGTAGAGAGTTTGGAGTGGAGAGTCGGTGATCTCTCAAACATCACCATTGTAGAGCCTTGGATTCCTTGTGGTTGAATAGAATCTCATTCTTTCATTTCCTTTTCTATCAATTTGTTGTGTTTTCTATCAGATATTTTCTGTGATAAAAGTTATTCCTTCTCACTTTGCATGTTGAATTTTGAATTAATCCCACTTGATCACTTCATTAGAATTTCCATTAAAAAGCGGTGAAAAGAAGAGAAAATAGTCTTATATAACCTCCAATGTTAAAATTTATATTCAAAACAAACAGAAAAAGACCACATGACCTTTATTTCCTTATTTTCTTCTGTTTTTAAATAGTACTAATTCAAAATTCCCAAATTCAAGTAAGAGTTTTTAAAGTTTAGAGGTTAAAGTGAGAATGATCCTAAAGTTAAGGGGAACATCAGCACGTATGAGAATAATTAAAATAAGTAAATAAATCTATAACAATTTATAGTTACCTGTCTCAATTGTCGGTTGGCTTCTAGTAGCAGGATCTCCTTCACATATAATAAGGTTGAACTAAATTAGTTCAATAACAGTTTAACAATGAGAAGAGAGGCGTTAATTCTAATTAGTTGTACACTAACTGTGGCCGCCAAATGGTGATGGCGTTCAGCAAAGAGAAATCAAAGATAAATATTGAACTGTTTATTTATTTATTTTTCTTCATTGGCATCAAACTAATGTTATCAATGTACAGTTGAATAGTTTTGCACCTGACCTTCCTTTTACGAGAGTTGATTTCTTTCATAATTTTATCATCCTGAAACAAATAGTAAAAAATTCCGTGTCAAAAGTAAATATTCCTAGCTAGCTACTTATCTGTTCCAGTGAAATCAATAAGACATATATGTGTAGCAAGTTAGAGCACAAAACCTTCTTTTCTATGACACGACCTAATCCAGTCTCAACCAATTTCTCTAGTTTCTTTAATTCATCAAGGTTTAGTTCTTCAAGTTCTTCTCCCTTCATCTGCCTGTGGACCTCAAAAATGAGATTATATCCTTAACATAAACATTTGTAAGGAAAAAAAAAGTTCTTTTAACAATCTACTAAGTTATGTACATACATGTATATATGTGCGCGCGTGTATATATATATATATATGTATTATATATATATATATATATACACACACACTATTCATGAATTACTTATATACCTCATCTCCCTTGTCTTCTGTTCAAGTTGCTTGCTCAACGAGGCGTATCTCTTTCTCTCGCACGAAGATCACACCAAGTATATATATATTTTTATCAATAAGGAAAAATTGAACCAAAAGTAAAAGAAAAAAAAGTGTTACAAATACTAAAGCATAAAGGAAATCTAAGAATGATAAAGAAAAACAAAAACAAAATGCAAACAAGAAAATAAAAATAAAATAGCAAAAACGCAACCTATGAAAAACTTTAAGATTGTCTCATAATTTAAAACCCTTCCCACAGAGAGGTCTAAGCTTATCGGAAGACTCTTTCTCTTTTGGATTGTTTGTTCAATTTTCTCCTCGGGAATAATTATTATTTATGAAAGTAATTTCTTGCTAAGTCCTCTTCTTGTGAGACCAGGAGAGCACAAGTAGAACAGTTTGTAAAAGCAAATATTATCACGTTACTCATGATCTGTAGTAACCATGATTAGCTAGAAAATGCTTAGACACATAAATTCTGGGTTTTCAATCTATATTTTTGCAGAAACAACTGAATCTTGCAACCCTGAACAATAACCCTCGTCCATATTCTCTTTTGCTAACTTAGCCAAGACAGTAGCAATAATCTTTTCTTGGCTCGGAACTCGTTATTGAAAGAAGGATTGTATTCTTTGTCCTACATTAAAAGTGTGCTTACCAAACCGTAAAGAAATGTAAAAGAAATATAGTAGGATTGAAAAGAAGCAAAACAAAATAAAAAGAATAAGAACCATTGATTTCCTTTTTAGTTTACTTGTCCAAGACATAAAGGGAATACAAATGACGTAATTACCACATTTCTTCCATGATTAGGAGAGAAAGAAATTAGGGAGCGCACAAATATGTAATTCTTTACAATATATATATATATATATATATGATTAACGACTCGTATCTTTGATTTTGAAGCCAAGAAGGAAGTACTATATATGGCCTAAAGTGATTATCTCAAGTTTGTGATGAAGATTCTTTTTTTAAGAAGAAAAACTAGACCAACAAGCACTGTGATATGGATGGCTTAAACAGGAGATCGAGAATTTTACCCTAGAATTTCACAAAATGAAAGAGAGCGCTTCCGTGATTCCCATAACACTGAACAAAAAGTCAAACGAGAATATGATTTCACATCAAGGAAACCCTAATTAGTTAGAAAGTCCTTTGAAGATTGTTATACAATGCTCCGATGAAACATTATTATTATTATTATTATTTTCAAATCATGCTTATTCAAGCATCAAGAATACTTAACCATGTTACAATTCTAAGCTTCCTTCTTAAACTAAAATGCCAAATAATCCCCTAATCAATGAAACATTAAAATAAAAGAAGGCCATATAATTCTTGGTCGTCGATTTTTTTTATTTTTATTTTTTTAAGTAAAGAGAGCAATTAGCATCAAAGGAAATTAGCACATCTCAACAAAGTTGGCAAACACTATAAACCCCACGCAAAGCCCTCTACTCAATATTACTATCAAATAACAAGAAAAGCAATACAAAATATTAAGAAAGACAAACAACCTCAAGGATAATGAACCAAAATAAAGAAACCTAAAAACAGGACCAACCAAAACAAGACCAAAAGTGGGGACAAGGGCAAGTAGAGTCTGACACCACAAGGAATAGGCGAAAACAAAGCTTAGCAAACCAGACTCTCTGGTAGACTTCATTAAAAATCTTACTAGTAAAAAACAACGAGAACACTTGACAAGGAAAAAGGAGTGTCTGTCATAAATTAATACAAAAAAGACAAAAACTAGCGGTTGTAATCCTGTCTAGAAATGTCTTGAAAGATTATAGGAAGAACACTAGCTATCTGGAGCATTAAAAGAACAGAGATGATGCTGAAAGTGAAGAACACTAGCTTGATTGCCTTCCCAAAAAATGTGAGAAAGAACAGTGAGAGTATGACAAGAGTGAAATAGTCAAGGAACCTACAAACTTGTGAAAGAAATTAGAGAAACCACATATATAGATCGAGTCACACTCCATCCACAATTTTCCAATCAAAAGCCCAAGCATAATCAATTGCTAGGATGAAAGCAAAAAATTTTCGCTTCAAAAGCAAAAGCATTGTTTACTGCCAAGAAATGATTTATTGCCCCCATTTCCACCTCCAAAACCATCCCCATTCCCATTTAACGAGAGGCGGGAAGAGGGTCAGCGATTCTTTATTACGAGAATCTTTCTAATATCCAACCCTCCCCTCCAGTTTTTCTGGCCTGTGCATGAAGTATCTAACATAACTATGCATTTCAAAATTATAGCAATTTAAAACAAAAATAAAATAGAGATTTACTATAAATTAATTAGATAGTTGTAGAGCCACAAAAGGTCTATTCACTACAACAAATAGCAGATTAGACGATGCTTATTTAACAATGTTTTTTAGGAAACCGTCGTCTAATGTGCTAAAAAAATGCGGTACGAAAACGAAATATATGTACGTGCACATTAGACGACGGTTTTTAAAAGACACATTAGACGACGGTTTCTAGAAACTGTCATCTATTAGACGACAGTTTTTAATGTTAAAAAATTTCAAAAAAAAAAAACAAAGCAGACTTTTTTCCGCTCATTTTTTTCTGAAAATTTTTAAAGCTTTGATAGTTCATCTATAACTTCGAGCATTCTCTTATAGATTCTAAGTTTGTTATCTCAAATCTCTCTACCTCTCCAAAGCTTCCTCTTTCTTCCTCACACCCTAACTCTAACTCTCCTCTCAACACTTCAAATTTTTTTTCTCTCAAATATCATCTCTTCTACACTCCCATGACTATACGTACTCCTCATTCTCTCAACTTGGCAGCCACCTCCAAGAGCCTCACAATCATACTCATACGTCGCCGGCCGTCGTAACCTTACCTCTATATCCACCACTACACCATGACCATAGAAATGGGTACTTTGTTAATCTTTACAAATTTCATTTCTTTGAGATTAGTTTTTTTTTTTTGTTTGGATTTAAAGTTTTTTTTTAAATAATTAGGTATTTTTCTTGTTAGATTTCGTAGAGAGACTTTTGGTTTTAAAATATTTGTGTTACATATATATTGATTATGTATGAGAAGGTGAATTTGTAACATGTTTTTTTGAATTTTTTTCATGTGTGTTGTTCAATGACTTGTGGCTTATTAACTATATGCCCCTATAATTGTTACAATTCAACACATCTCCTTTATTTTTGAAGATGTGGACAAGAATACTTTTCCTCCATGCATCAAGCATATGCTTCTTCCTTAGTATCTCATTAAAAAGTTTAGTGAACCACACAAGTCCAGCATCTCCTAACGCCATCCAAACTTCTATTGGAATATCATCTAGCCCACATGCCTTCCCCTTTTTCATCTTCCGTAGTGCAGTTTTAACTTCCGAGACTCTGATTCCTCTTGTATACATCACATTAGGTTCTCCTTATGACATAAGATTGCCAAACTCTATCGCATGATAAACATTATAAAGCTTCTCAAAGTAACTCCTCCACCTGTCACTAATGTCTTTATCTCTTGTCAGAATCTGATCTGTATCATCCTTAATACACCTCACTTGATTTAGGTCCTAACATTTCCTTTCTCTTATCTTAGCTAGTTTATATATATATCCTTCTCTCCTTCTCTAGTCCCAAGTTTCCTATATACCTCATCTAAGTAAGTAGAACGAGCCTTCTCAACTGCTCGCTTAGCGTCTTTCTTCGCTTCTTTGTACTCATTAAAAGTTTCAACATCCTTACGCTTTGGTAAATCTCTATATAAATCCCTCTTGGTCCTAATAGCCTTTTGAACTTCCTCACTCCACCACTAGGTTTCTTTCCCGGGGGGGCCTTTACCTCTAGATTCCCCTAGTACCTCATTTGCCACTTTTCTAATGCAATTGGCAATGGCATCCCACATAGTATTTACATCACCTACATATGACCAAGTAGCCTCATCTAACAACTTTTCTTTAAAGGCCAATTGCTTTATTCCCTTCAAATGCCACCAACGAGTTCGTGGGAGGTGGTTTATCTTAATCCTTCTATAGCAAAGCTTAATGCTCACATCTAAGATCACTAACCTATGTTGGATGGCTAGTACTTCTCCAAGAATCACTTTACAATTCTTACATAGAGAACGATCTCTATACCTGGTGAGAAAATAATCTATCTGGCTTAAGTTCCTTCCATTCTTAAAAGTTATCAAGTGAGAATCTCTTTTCTTAAAAAATGTGTTTGTTATGATAAAATCATGTCCCAACGCAAATTCCAAAATAGATTTCCCTTCTTCGTTTCGAGCTCCAAAACCAAAACCACCATGGATCCTTTCAAAGTTTTCCCTATCCTTACCAACATGCCCATTGAAATCTCCTCCAATGAAAATGCTATCCTCATTGCCTATACGACACACTAAGTCATCCATGTCTTCCCAGAACTTGACTTTAGTTTCCGCATCCAATCCTATTTGTGGAGCGTAAGCACTAATTACATAGATGGACTTATTTCCTAGTACCAACTTGAGCATAATAATTCTATCCCATATTCGCTTAATCTCAACTACGTCATCCTTCACAGTTTTGTCCACTAGAATACCAACTCCATTGTGATTCCTTTCCCAACCTGTATACCATAACTTGTGTCCTAAATTTCCAATCTCCTTTGCTTTCTCTCCTGTCCACTTCATTTCCTGTAAGCATAAAATGTTAATTCTTCTTCTTACCATAACATCTACTAACTCCATAGATTTACCAGTTAAAGAATCTACATTCCAACTACTTAAATGAATTTTCCTATCATGGGCTAGCTCTGCCCCTTGCACACGTCCATGAATGTGCAAGGACCCCCCTTGCATATTTTTCACCATATCCGGGACCCGACACGGCGCATGGGCTCGCTTTTCCCCCGCACACGTCCATGAATGTGCGAAGACCCCCCTTGCCTATTTAACACTATACCCGGGGCCCGGCATAGCGCGTCGCACGTAGTAAAGGGAAAGCCTCATACTTTTAACTATGATTTTTACAAAAACCGTCATTAAAAGTTAATATTAGACAACGATTTTTTTAAAAAACGGTCGTCTAATGTGCCTTTACTCTTGTAGTTTCTCACGCATGTATTAGACAACGTTTAAAAACCGTCGTCGTATCTCTTGGACATTTAACGACTCTAGATACAACAACGGTTTTTAACCGTCATCTTATCTCCTATTTGTTCTAGTGATTTTGTACCTTTTTATGTGTGTGTAATCGTTTATCTATGAGATGATTAACATTATGTAGAAAAGAAACCTTCTCTCGAGGGAGGAAAAGAAAAGACTCGCAATGCTATGTGCAATAACGGTGTCAAAGTGTTATGGCCCTGGTCCTGAGGTTATTTCTTCCTATTTTCAGCAGTTGAAACCATCAATAGATGGAAGTTAAGAGATATTCCCTAATCTAGGGGAGACGATACTCAAACTAAAAGTTATTATACAAAAAAGGATATTAATTAAGAGTGAGAGATAAAATAAATAATTAATTAAAGGATCATAACCAAAGAATTTGACCATATCCAATTAACTAATTATAATGCTAAATGCTAATATTCCCCTTAAAAACAACTTATTATGTTAATCGAATATTTTGTTCAAAATCCTTTTGTTTGTATTGCTTTTCTCGATTAACGTATAGTGGCTGTTTTGATTGTTGGTATTTGACTCTTTATTTGTTTTGGTTACTCGACCTTTTAATATTTCCTTTCGGCTTTTTTGAAGGATCATTAAAAAAAAAAAACTATTATAACTATTATGCCCGTGTAAATTATGCTATCAGAAAGATGTTTCACATGTCATTTTGTAACCTTTGTTTAACATTTAACTGACTCACCAACCTCCTAAGAACACCTTTCCAATACAGATAACTATGGTTGACAATAAGCATGGGTAAAGAAGGCAAAAATAATAATTTATGCCAGCTATAATATTACGTTTTTGTGGCTTTCATAATAATGGAGCATTGTAACATTATAGTAGAACTTGGTAATAAGTCACCATACATATTATTTCTTTTAGATGTATTATAGGGAGGTCTCCTAAAAGGATAATATTCTATACTAAATTCATCAAGTTGTCACAATAGGTCAAAACCATTGAATTAATGATGTAAAAACAACAAAAAGATATCTAGCAAAACCATTGATTGAAATTTTTTCAGCTAAAAGCTGAGAACATATGCTTTTCAACGGTTGAGATTGTTTCCTTTAATCATCCAGTGGCAGAAAAATTAAGCTGTATGTTACATCCTACATTTTTTGTAGTGAACATAGAGGGGGGGAAAAAATTTATGTTGAATAACTTATTGAGGTATCAGGTACGTACTGTAATTGCAATAATATTAGTGATTAGCCAGTCAAAAGAAAGAAAATAAAAGGAAACATCTAATAAGCTTCATCTCCTCAAGCAAATATATTACGTTATTGCCTCTAATCAAAAGTGATTGATTTGAATTTGATGGAGTTAACGACTTGTAAGACTTCTTTATGAACAAATTGAGACAAGACTTGTTTATAGACTTCTTTACATTATTGTTTGATTTATATTCATTCGTCATACATACATACATAAACGCACACACACATAAATACATGCGCATATATATATATATATATATATATATATATATATTGTGAAACTGCTGATCAAGTTATGTAGTACATGAGTGATAAATTTATATAGGCCTCACCTCAAGTTCATCGAGAGATGGTTGACTGATCAATCTTTCAGGATTTTCAGAATGAAAATTATGCCTTTCAAGAATTTGCTGCATGCTTTAAACAACAAAACGACAGCACATATTCACTTATAGCATCAATGAAATAAAAAGCAAGAAAACTAATGTGAAAATAAAAGTACAAAAAAAGTCCAGGGAATTAAGTGTTTGTTTTAAATGCTTGTTTTTGTCTAGTTTTCTTCCTCATAAAATAAAGTGGTATAATTTGATTGATAGTACATGGGAATATATCTTAAAAACCATGTCTATTTGTGGAAGTGAAAATAAACTCTACTAAACGAGCATATTTTCATGAAACTAAACGATGACATTTTCATAAAGAAAACCGAATGGTGATGCAAGGAAAACAATGTGTTAAATAAGTGAATATTGTCTTAATGCGTTCGATGATTTAATGTAGAGCACTAAGGTTGATAAGACCACAAAGCTTGATGCCCTAACGCATAACATATGATTAGACTGTAAAACTCAATTAAAATCAGAATCAGAATATTTAAAAACATGGAGAACGGGCCAATTTAATCATAACGCGTGGCAAAATCTACTTTGAAAATCAACATATATCTCCTATTAGTAATTTTAGATTTAGCCTACATTCCAATGTACTCCCAAGCTTATATTGGGCTGGGTACAACGGAAAAGACACGCTTTTTTTATTCAATAATGAAACCTTGTGATCTTCTTTGATTTTTTGAATTTCCTTAATTAGGTAAATTTCTAACTTGAGAGTTTTCTTTACAAGAGCCCTCCATTTTCCCCTATATATTGGAGTTGTAGACAAGTTCAGAAATAAAGAATCAAGTGAGTAGCAACTTATTTTCAAGTGAATCTAAGTATGTAGCTAATGCACAATTTTTTTTCATAGTTCCTATTACAAATATTTACATACACTTAGCAAGAATTTGCATGTGGGCTCATGTGTGTAAGTTTGTTCAACCAAATACAATAGTAAATTTCTTTCAAATGCTTAATTTGCTCCTCTAATTATAACAAGGGATAAAATCATTTTGGGTGTTATATCAAAACATACTGTTGGTACCCTCTGTTTTTAGTGATATTAAAATGGTACCTCAACGTTTAAAAAAAAAAAAAAAAATTTGATACCTTTAGGCCAATTTTTAGACTATAAAATATTAAATTTGCCCTTATAACTATTTTCTCATTTGGTTGACCCAACATTCCATTTAAATAACGTTAATAAAAAATATGTTATCTCTTTAACCAAACAAATCCATTTTATTATAAAAGTCCTCATTTTATACATGCACATTGCAAATCATAAAGTAAATGTGAAAATGAGACGGACTAATTTGACATTTCATGTCTCAAAAACCGGCCTCAAGTTACAAAAAAAAAAAAGGACTTTCAAAATGTTGAGGTACTATTTTAATATTATATATTAAAAACAAAGGCGATATCAACATGTTTCGATATAACACATGGTACCAAAATGATTTTATCTCTTACAGCAACAACCTACGCTATATGTACTAAGGAAGCATTATTTAACATGTTTAGGTTATGGTGGATCAAATGGAAACAGGAAAAGTAATACTAAAGCCATCAACTACTACTTCTACAAAACTTCACTTAAAGTCAAGTGATCAAATTATCATCACCTTGTTTATTATAGTGTACGGTTAGGCAAATAACACATCACTTAATTAAAAACAAAATCTAACTAGCAAAAAAATATTAAAAACAAAATGTACTACAGGAAATTTGTAGTACTAACAATATCTCTCGTAAAATTAATTTGATTTCATATATCAAGTAACAGTGTACATCACTATATAATCAAATTGTCACATTAGTTTGAAAAGAAGTGATTGATCGAAAGAGAAAAACTGAGAAATTAACTGCAAGAATTGTTGAAAATGAAAAATTTCACACATTTTTACCTTATTCAGAATAATCAACTCAAAGGACAAAACACGTGTGACTTTAGCAAGTCGGAAAACATAGTACTAATGCTTTAACATTATCATGCCCGTGAGTAGAAATGCTCAATGGTTCGGAACCCCCAACTCTTTATTTATTTCTATTTTTTGGAAAGGACAGAATAGGCATGTACCTTTAACTAGTGGGAAGCAAATACATTAACATTAGTACTGAAATGAAAGTAGAAGTAGTACTACATATATATATATATTGGTTCTATAAATATGTGTGTGTGTATATATATATTTCCTTATTTTTATTTACATCCTTTCTCAGTGGAAAAAAAAATGGAAAACTGTGATAATTTGTTGAGCCGTACGCAGTAATCTAGTACAAAATCAAAAACTTAAAATGAAAATTCATTTTTAGCTAAATCTTAGACCTGGATTTCTTTCTTTTTACAGGACGGACATATGAGAAGATTTCATGAATGAAACACAAATATATCACAGACAAACTAACTAAATATAGAATACATAGATATATACACATACATATATACATAACATAGGCATATGCATATATATATATATATATATTATATAAAATAAGATTTAGAGAGAGAAGGAGTGAAATAAAACCTTGAACTAGAGTACTCATAGAGTTTTCCAGTGGAAGAAAACACAATGAGAGCCATTTCAGCATCACAGAGAGTGGAGAGTTCTTGAGCCTTCTTGAAGAGCCCTCTTCTCCTCTTAGAAAAAGTCACTTGCCTTGCCGTAATGTTGTCGATCTTCTTTATCTCTATTTTCTGCCTTGTCATTTTCCCAAGAAAATCAAAAATAATAAAGCCTAATATTCTCCAAGAGAAAATTTTCCCACCTGTAGACAAGACCGAAATCCATCCAAATTAATACAAAATCACCAAGTACAATAAATGGGAAGATCATAATATATAAACAAAAAAATGAAATGATAAAACATATTTTACCCAGAAAAAGAATGAAATACAAAAAGGAAAGAAGAAAGCAATATTTTTTTTAATAAAGAAAGAGATCAATCGATGATCAGCAGCTAAGTTAGGAACAAGAAAACCCTAGAAAAAAAAGGCATAAAATATAACTAAACTACTAACCCAAATAACTCTTGTTTTGGCCATAAAAATTAAAGAAAATGGATAACATATGAGAGATCTGTTCTGGGTTTCTTTCAAATTTTTACCTTTTTTCTTTTTTAATTCTTCTATTCTCGATTCCCAACCTTCAAAGGTAGTCTCGTTTTTATTGCTGCTGACACTTCACACAAAGACAGATTCAAAGCCACCAATGGTTTACATGGAATGAGAGAGAGAGAGAGAGGAAATGACTTTGTTCAGGAAAAATAAAAGATTCCTTTTCTGGAAAACACAAGAGGTTCTGCTGTCTCTAATTTAAGTCGGGTCCAATGTGAACATAAAAATAAAAATGTGAATGTAAAATTTTATTTTATTTTATTTTGCTGGACTTTCTCGGTTTAGTTGGTGGGTCAACGGGTCTCTCTCTTTGATAATCAATAAAATTAATTTTTGTGGAAATTGGTAATATCTTTCTTTCTTTAAATGGTGAGGTTTGCTTTTCCGTACAGATAGCCATGCCCATCACTGAGAAGATGAATTATGACATTTCACGTTTCTGTACTCTCGTACATATCACGTTCCCCACATAATTTCCTACGAGACGATATATTAACTGTCTCGCCGAGATATTTATGTATTTATTAGTTTTCCACCTCGTACGGACAACCAGCTTGAGATGAAAATGTAGGTAGGTATATGTGGAGCAGCATGACTTATAATAGTCACTCATTCGGTGTTTGCCTTGAATGAATGAAAATGGACGAGGAAGTTCGGAGAATTCAATGTTTAAGGTTTTCATTTACTTTTCGTGTTTTTTTTTTTTTAATATTAAGAAAGTTTCATAATTATTTCTTGTATTCCATTGGAATCACATTTTTGCCTTTTTTGTTTTACGAATGAAAAAAATATTCCCCCTCCTGTAAATATCCTTAGTGTTACCTCAAACTCATGTTACTCCTACAATTACTATAGAATATAAAATAAAAAGTAGGAAAGCCTACGGGTTTGTTTGTTTACACCCTAAATTTAAAAAAATTTGAACTCAAGTTACAACTTTATTTAAGTTTATATTCTTTTGTCAAATTTAAAGTCTCATTTATTTCACCAATTCGAGTTTTGCTACAGTAAAAGTTCTCAGAAACAGTCGCATCTAATTTTTTTGTTATAGTAAAAAGTTTTCATATAAAATCACATCTCAACTCAAATTAAAAACTCGAATCAGTAAACTAAACGGGCTTGAACTGGAGTTTTTAACTTGAGTTTGAGGTTAAAATCTGAGGCTCCATTTTCATCTATTCGAGTTTAGAATTTGAGTTTTGCTACAGTAAAAAGTTCTCAAAAACAGTCACATCTAACTTTTTTACTACAGTAAAAAAACTCTCATATTAAGTCACATCTCAACTCAAATTAAAAACTCGAATTAACAAACTAAACGGGTGATGAGTTTACAATACCGCAAACGTGTTTTCCCTTATTCATACCATAAACACCAATGGTCCAGATGTGTTGAACGAAAATTGAACGCTCGTAGTCATGTTATTGTAGAAAAAAATGATCCTCATTGCACTATATCAAATTCATTAAAAACCAAAAAAAAAAATTTAAAACAAAGAACAAGCTGGTGATTAGGGTAGCTGGGGCGGTGGCTAACAACCCACCCATGAGGTCGCTCTGTTGCGATCACAGACGCAGTGCAGTAGCTTCGAGACTATGGAATTGCGAACCCCAAATCTCGTGTTGTGTCCTTAGTTCGCGTTGGAATTCATGATTGGGTGGCATCCCACCAACGGAGGACACAACTGAGATTGCAATGTCTTTGTAATGGAAGACGAAACAAAGGTCGCGATTTGTGACTCAGATCAGTAAGATTTAGGTCCCGTTCACTTCGCTGATTCGAGTTTAGAATTTGAGTTTTTTTACAGGAAAAAACTCTTACAAATAATCACATTTAACTTTTTTGCTACAGTAAAAAGCTCTTACATAAAGTCACATCTCAACTCAAATTCTAAACTCGAATCAACGAAGTAAACGAGGCCTTAGTCACCAGAGAGGTCGAGACCCATCTCATCACCTTTTGCAACGGAAGTCGATACCCATGGAGATTGACGGCAATCCCATTGGTGTGGATGGCGGCCGTCAATCGCAAAAGGGGGCTGTGATTTTTTTTTCAGTATTGTTATGTTTTGTAATTATTAATTAAATTAAAAATTTTATTACTCAATGTGGTTATGCTTATTTTTGTTTCCATGAAATCATGATATGAGATTGTCGATTGTCAATCTAACGGTTCAAAAAACTTATTGTAGCAGTACATGTCCGTACTGTTTGGTACTGTAGTCACGTCCACAAAAAAGTATTCACATGTTTTTGTAAAAAGTAAAGTATATCTCTTATACATTAAGGGCCCGTTTAGTTCACGCGTTTAAATTTATGATTCAGATTCTACTATAATGCTTTCTTCCTGAAAAATTTAAATCAACAAGTTTACGACAATGAATTCTCACAAAATTTGAATTTGAAATCAAAATCACTAACTTGAACTCGTGAACCAAAAGGGCCCTGAATCATTCAATGATTTGAATTCAAAAGTTCAAATGAAGCCATATTTGATAAATACTTTTGAGATTTTGTTTAAATCATTGATTTGATGTTTTAAACAAAAATAAATAAAAAAACCCTCAAATTTCCGAGCCCTATTTAGTGACATGGTTTGAAACCAAAATCCAGTTTAACCCATATTTATAAGGGGAAAAAATTAGAAATACAACTCAAGATGGTAAAAAATATTTTTTATGTCATTCCATTAAAAAATGAACAAATGTCATTCAATTAATAAAGAGAAAATAAATAGTCATAATGGCATTTTAGAATGACATAAATAATAGACATGTACAAAATCATAACAAACCATGTATTTTTCTCTATTTGATAAATTTTTTACTGGGCCATTTTGAAACTTTGACAAGATAATTTGAACAAAAAAAAAATCCCTCTATTTTGGTATTAAACCCCCACATTTTCACCTTTGTTTTAACTCAAATCTTCGATGTTTGGGGCTCAATAGGGCTCAATAATTTTCTAAACCTACCTGACCTATTTTATCTCTATACCAACCATCTTTTCTATATACCAATCAAACTTCTACAATTAAATTTGTTAGAGGTTAGAGGCCAATAACTGAATCCGCATGATTATAGCGTTATTATCGTGATAGCAGAAAAAGTAAATGAAAAATAAGAAATAAGTTAGTGAGACACAGAGATTAATAGTGGTGCCCCTGAAAACTGCTACAACTTTTAGGTTGCGAACCCAAGTGCAGGTTGTCTTAAAGTAATAAAAGCTCGGGAGTCTGAGGTCGATCCATAGGCAAGTTAATTAGAAATTACAAGATCATATATATTTAATAAAAACAAAAAGATATTTACAACTGACTTGAAGAAAAATAAAAATACTTGCTACAATACTACGCGACACTATTCACAAATACGGTACTATTCATCATGAATTTAGTTTTTAGGCTATAATTATCTATATGTTCCTGACAAATGTAAAAATATAGAAAATAAAGTTGATTGAAGGTTATACAAGAAATAAAAGACGTCGAGGTTAAGGGATCCGCTCTCGGTATTATACTAAGATTAATCTTAACTCATTTTTATAACTCAATTGGAATCCACATATAACGGAGGTTCCAATCAGAGGATTTAGCAATTTAAAGCCCATTAATATAGCATATGATATTATATTTACTTTATGACTCCAAAACTTATAAATAGGTTCAAGTATTTATTATGCAATTTATGTCTACACCAAATCAAGGTTAACACATACCAAGCAAACGTCTAAATAAAACCAAGCATTTTTTTTTTTTGTCCCGATCATTGTCTATAATGAATCAAGACTCCTACTTTACAAGTATGTTATCAAAACATGTAAATACAACACATATGCTAACGACAACAAATGATAATTCACATTAATCCCAAGTTTATTCACATGTTTGTATATGTGATTAATGTGAATGATAATTCACTCTTATGCAATGTATATGTGATTAATGTGAATGATAATTCACTCTTATGCAATGTATATGTGATTAATGTGAATGATAATTCACTCTTATGCAACACATGTGAATGATAATTCACTCTTATACAACACATGTGAATGATAATATGCAACACATGTTTATTCACATGTTTATTCACAAGTTTATTCAAATGATAATTGATTCTTAACTTAGGAATAATGTGAATTATCATTTGTTTTCGTTAGTATATGTATTGTATTCACATGTTTTGATAAAATACTTGTAAAAGAAGAGTCTTGATTCATTATAGACCATATCATTAGCACAAAAAAATGCTCAGTTTTATTTAGACGTTTACTTGGTCTATGTTAACTCTGATTTAGTATAGACATAAATTGGTGTAATGAATGCTTGAACCTGTTTATAAGTTTTGGAGTCATAAAGTAAATACAATATCATATATGATATACAAATGGGCTTTAAATTGCTAAATCCTCTCATTGGAACCTTTGTTATGTTTGGATTCTAATTGAGTTATAAAAATGAGTTAAGATTAATCATAATATAATACCGAGAGCGGATCCCCTAATCTCAACTTTGATTTCTATATTTTTACATTTGTTAGGAACATATAGATAATTCTAGTCTAAAAGCTAAATTCTTGATGAATAGTACCGTATTTGTGAATAGTGTCGTGTAGTATTATAGCAAGTATTTTTACTTTTCTTTAAATCAGTTGTAAATATCTTTTTATTTTTATTAAATGTTGATGATCTTGTAATGTCTAATTAACTTCCCTATGGATCGACCTCAGACTCCCGAGCTTTTATTACTTGAAGACAACTTGCACTTGGGTTCGTAACCTAAAAGTTGTAGCAGTTATCAGGAAAACCACTATAATTCTATGTGTCTCACTATCTTTATTTTTTATTTTTCATTTATTTTCTCTGTTATCACGATACTAGTACTATAATCATCTGAATTCAATCATTGGCCTCTAACAACTTTAATTATAGATTTCACATTCTACAGAAATTGAGTTTGATT